TTGGTCTCGTCCTGTTCTTCTATCTATGGTTCTCAGTTATAATATATTATTGTGAAATAAAATGACACATATGCCGATGTAAGCTTTTGGTCGTATCGCCCATGAAATAGAGATCAACTGCTAAAACTGCTAAAAAATGTTACCAGTGTGTGAATGCATCCTTAAAGTTCAAAGTGTTCCTTAGTTTTGATGCAAACATATGCATAGAGCCGAACGCACAGCCTTTCAATTAAAACTTAATTTATAGAATACATGAACACTGGGGGTCAACACAAGTTAGTGAAGTGCCCAGCAGATGTTCACACACACACACACACACACACACACACACATACAAAGAAAAACAAGTAAATAGAATAGAACAAATAGAAAGCTAGTGTTAAAAAAAGAAGATAAATAGATAAAAGTAGAATTAAAATACAATAGAAAGTGCTAGAGTTAGAGGGTCAAATAAAGGTGGAACAGATGTGTTTTTAGCCGATTGTTGGAGATGGTTAAGGACTCAGCTGCTGGGATTGAGTTGAGCTGGTCATTCCACCAGGAGGGAACATTTAATGTAAAAGTCTGTGAAAGTGATTTTGTGCTTCTTTGGGATGAACAATAATGCGTCATTCCCTTGCAGAACGCAAGCTTCTAGAGGGCACATAACTCTGAAGTAATGCATTTAGGTAAATGCGTGCACAGTCAGTGGTGGTTTTGTAGGCAACATAGGTGTGATGTGCGTTTTTTTCGGCTCATTAAAGATTAATCTTGCAGCTGCATTTTAGATTAATTGTAGAGGTTTGATAGAAGTGGCTGGAAGACCTGCCAAGAGAGCATTGCAATAGTCCAGCCTGAACAGAACAAGAGCTTGAACAAGGAATTGAGAAGCATGTTCTGAAAGAAAGGGCCTGATCTTCTTGATGTTGTATGAAGCAAATCTGCAGGACTGGGTAGCTTTAGCAATGTGGTCTGAGAAAATCAGCTGATCATCAATCATAACTCTAAGGTTTCTGGCTGTTTTTGAAGGAGTTATGGTTGATGTGCCTAACTGGATGGTGAAATTGTGAAGAAACTATGGGTTTGTTGAAACCACAAACAGTTCTGTCTTGGCCAGGTTGAGCTGAAGGTGATGGTCCTTCATCCAGCATGAAATGTCTGTTAGACATGCTGAGATGCGAGCAGCTATCGTCGGATCATCAGGATGGAATGAGAGGTAGAGTTGAGTGTCATCAGCATAGCAGTGATATGAAAAGCCATGTTTCTGAATGACAGAACCTAGTGATGCCATGTAGACAGAGAAGAGAAGTGGTCCAAGTACTGAGCCCTGAGGCACCCCAGTAGCTAGATGTTGCGACTTGGACACCTCACCTCTCCAAGATACCTTGAAGGACCTATCTGAGAGGTAAGACTCAAACCACTGGCGTGCGGTTCCTGAGATGCCATTTTCCAACAGGGATACTTTTTGGGTACTTTTCGCCCACTGTTTTATGAATACTGCAAATTCAGACATTTACTACTCTTTTGGCGTACTGTTTTCACCTGCTATATAGTAGAGAAGTAGGCAGAGCTGGATGTGCACATACTATGCTGATGATGAAATGTGTCACACGTTCTGTATGCATATACTAGCATTCGCATAAAAATCTAAGTAAAAAAATAAAGTAAATTATGTTTATGTCATTTTTGCTGTGTGTTTATGGATTGGCCTGGATGCATGTGAGACCAGCCCTGGATATGACATCAGCCAACGAGACTAAAGCAGCTGAATGAAAGCAGCATCTCCTTTATAATATGATTGCATTCCGTGGCTTCTCTTCCTTGGCTGATGAAATCTGCTCTGCTTGCTCTCGTCTTTCTGTCGGCCTCGTTTCCCTCCTCGCTTCCGTTCAGTTTATAAATGAGGTCTCGGTTTGCTGGTCCTGGAGGGAATCTAATGAGTGTTCAAGTGTAATCCGGTGAGGAGCAGTAAATCTGAGCTGTTTACCGCGCGCTCAGGGTAAATTACTGCTATGTAAATCTGCTCAAGTGCTGCGCGACTGGAGAAGCTCCGATTGAAGCTGCTGCAGGAAACGCTAAGTGGACAGAAAGCCAATACTCTAGAATGGAGAGAGAGAGACGGAGAGAGAGAGAGAGAGAGAGAGAGAGAGAGAGAGAGAGATTCTTTACCTGGAAGCAAATCCTCTATGTAAAAAATGGTCTGATCGTGTCTTATAAGGGTGGACAATATACGACCAAATTATTGTAATAAAGAGTTCTTAACTAGTTCTACCTTAATCTGGACTAGTTTATTTCTTCATCATGCTCATGTGTAAGTCTCAGTGCAAATACATCTACAGTAGAATAAAAAATAGCGACTCTGCCATCTATCACTGCCTGTGCTTAGCCAGCGACAAGCAATTTATCAGAGAAACCTGGAGATGGAGAGAGAGAGATAGAGACGGAGAGAGAGAGAGAGAGAGAGAGAGAGAGAGAGAGAGAGATTCTTTACCTGGAAGCAAATCCTCTATGTAAAAAATGGTCTGATCGTGTCTTATAAGGGTGGACAATATACGACCAAATTATTGTAATAAAGAGTTCTTAACTAGTTCTACCTTAATCTGGACTAGTTTATTTCTTCATCATGCTCATGTGTAAGTCTCAGTGCAAATACATCTACAGTAGAATAAAAAATATATAAATCTCCATGGACTCGCATGTTTCTAGCATTGTGTAGTCTATCATCTATACACCATCAAACCACCAGCACTAATGCTATTAAAGTGAGTTCAGATACATACATTGTCTTGAGTGTTGGTGTGTAGAAATGAGGAGCTGAGGAACATGAAGACTTCAGGACTGATCTAGAGATTCCTCTTAGATCCGGATCATCCTGTTAGATTAGACTGACATCTGCTGGCGGACAGTAGCTTCACACATCAGAAATTGTGTCCTGTATTTAGTACAGTTCATATGCTAGTTTGGGGAGATACAGACTGAAATGTTATTCACTGAAAATGTTCCTCATTCACACTCCTGCATATTTAGATGTGACGCTTCAAGACGAGTTGCTTAAGCTTTATGATGGATTTTTTTGTTGAACAAAAAGTTGAAGTTTGAAGTAAAAAAATAAAATATTTACATATTTAAAAAATAACTATTAATTTAACAGAAAATGTTAATCTCTCAAATTTGATTTGAGAAGATTTTGATTACATGTAAACAATTTTTTTTGGTTTTGTTTTGTTTCTGTGAACAGTTTCAGGTTTAACCGTCTGGCGTTGTTCATTTGGGAGTCACACTTGTGCTGCTCGTGATCAAAGGTGACCGAACACCTGACATATAACTTTTTATTTTATTTTCAGTGAAATCAATGTAATATATTTTTGTTCAATAATATTTTTATTTTGTATTCTGAGAAAAGTTGTGGATTTGGATTTATATAAAGACATTCTCAAAGACAACTGTTTGTAAAGGTTTAGATTTTTTTGTCTGCAATATTGGTCTGAAATGTCAGTTTTTGCCTCTTATTTTAGTCTTCTGGCACAATTTTGCCATATTGTTACAGCAAGTTCATTTGTGTGTGTATAATTGTGTGTGTCTGTGTGTGTGTGCGCGTGTGTGTCTGTGTATGTGTGTGTCTGTGTGTGTGTGTGTGTGTGTGTGTGTGTGTGTGTGTGTGTGTGTGTGTGTGTCAAAAATGACTGAACAACGCCAGAGGGTTTTAAACAAATGATTAAAACGTGCATAAGGCAAGTGCTGGTAGTCAAGCATGTGACGAGTGGTGAAAAGAGAGTAGATTGCTTCAAAGCAGGAAAACAACAGTGGTTTAATATTGTAAAACTAATCAATTCTGGAACTAATTCATCTGTAAGCAGCTCTACAGAAGACAATAGAGTTGTTATTCAGATCAGTGTCAGTGCTGCAAATCAAATTCTGTTCTCAGCACATGAAAGTGAATTTAGAGTCTGAATTAACATGCAATGTTGAGTTTCTGATGTTCTTGATCACTGAACTACAGCATGTGAAGATCAAACCATCTCTGAAAATCTGCATAAATAAAGCCACGATTAAGCAAGCAGATGCTAGCTGTGAAGCTGCTGCTGCAGTGCATTCTGGGAGTCTCACATTTGGAGCTGTTGAAGTGTGTTTCAGACACAATATCTCAGCTGTTTCTCCTGCACAGAATTAAGATTAAACAGAGAGAAATCAATGACTTCATCTTGCGTCTCCTGCTTAGATGTTCCTCCTCAGAGCCGCTCCACAGTCATCTTACAGCTCTGGATGAACTACATGTCTGAAATCATCCTCCTTCATTCACACCGCCTCAGCAGACCTGTGTGTTTACCATCTCAATTACCAACGATTATATTAACAGAGAAACCTTTAGCTCACTCAAAACTGAACATTATCACCATTTACTGTGAACTAACCCTCTAAATCTGACAGATGTCAGTTTTACATTCATTCTAAATCATAAACATCTTAAAGACATCTTCTAAACGTGACATCTGATAGGAAACATGCTATAGACGTATTGCAGATGAGCAAACAGACATCTCTGTGATGCACGTGTGCTGTCAGCGTAGTTCCACCTCAAAGAGATGATTTAGACACTTTACGGATCAAACTACATTATTTTACTCAATAATTCATGTAAATGTTGTAACAAAACTCTGTTTTTCAGCATGACAGGAACATTGTGAGCTATGGAACTTTTTTTTTTTTTGATACACAGTAACAATGTGTTATTAATAGTAGACTTGAAAAAAGTCCATCTTCCAAATCATGTCTTTAGGCAGATATTCCTCTGTTTCAGACAGGTTTCGCAGGACATTGCACACACAGAGAGATAGAGGGAATGAAGTCACACACTGCAGCTTCAGGCCTTGTTCAGACGAGCAGCAAACATGTTTGCATGTCCAGGTTTTTGAAAGTCTGGACAGAAAGATTTTATTTACAGAAGCATCTCAGTCTGGACTCTGGCTGCTCAATACATACACACGCAGTTTGATCTCACCGCTAGATGGCGCTGGCGTTCCACTGCTTTTCACCAGGTGATTATATTCCTCTGTATTGAAATATTTATTTGGAAAATAGAACCACATCAACTCGCATAACAGAAAGCAGCTCGCATCAGTTTTATACTGCAGCTGTATGTTGAGGAACACGTCTAAATAATGCGAGAAGAGCGTGTCGCGCATGCGCCGCTTAATGACGCGCGCGAGGGCGGGTGTCACCTGTGCGTCAGTCACCCGACCAGACCACACCAGACCCGACCAGACCCGACCGGCGGAGCACCGAGGAACCGCCGCGCTTCACCCGAATATCCCCGTGCGTTTGACGTCATGCTCCGGTAGGATCGATTACCTGCGGCTCTGGATTATTGATGAGGATGAGGATGATGATGGAGGATCTGCCGGACTTCAGAGACGTGGAGCACAAGCTGGGCCGCAAAGTTCCGGAGAGTTTGGTTCGTTCACTCGCCGGCGACCCGTTCAGAGGCTCGGAGACGCACGCGCGCGCTGATGGTCTGCAGACGCTCCACAACAACATCAGCTTCCTGCGACAACAGATGGTGAGTGGCGCGCGCCACAGAGTCGCTTAACCCGACCCAGAAGAGTCGTTTAGCCCGACCCAGAAGAGTCGTTTAGCCCGACCCAGAAGAGTCGTTTAGCCCGACCCAAAAGAGTCGTTTAGCCCGACCCAAAAGAGTCGTTTAGACCGATCCAGAAGAGTCGTTTAGCCCGACCCAAAAGAGTCGTTTAGCCCGACCCAGAAGTTCTTACGCGCGTTCAGTATCATCGTCAGACATGTAGCATGCATTTCTGTTTGTCTGTAATTATAAAGTACATCTGTATAATGATGAATCGAGATGTTCGATGCATTATTATACACTATTATACACTAATGGGTTTACATTCGCATGAACACGTTTAACAGAGCTCAGACAGACGTTTAACAAATACAGACATGCATCTCTAGATGTTCTAGTCTCCAGAAGTGAACTGCACACCGCAGTGTCTCTGTTTGGGTTGTGTTTGTTCATTTGGTCACTGAGCATTAGAGATGTCGGAGTCTGTCGTTTTTTGGTTTTTAGTGTGATTAACGGCGCGAACAGATGGTCTGATCCGCCGCCTGCTGCTCACACAAACACTGACTCTGATCACAAACACCCCGATCTGCGTTTCTGACCCAGCAGCTGAGAATGATGCGATACTATAACTGCAGAACTGAACAACAGCTGAGGAATCATTCATTCATGACTCACACTCACACTCACACACACTCCCACTCCCACACACTCACACTCACACACACACACACACTCACACACACACACACTCACAC